AAAAGAAAAGAAAAGTAGCCCTGATGTCCAAGCCTGATTTACCAAGCCTCAAGAGATTGAATCCAAGGGCTGGCATGAAAGGTGTGTGGCATCACTGCCTGGCAAATAAAACAAAAGAAAGCAAAATAAAAACAAAAAACATACAAAAACAAACAAACAAACAAACAAAAGCAACCTTATAAGAAGTATTTTTGTCTTTGAGATAGGGCTTTACTATGTAGCTAAGACTAACCTTGAATTCCTGTGCTCAGCTGATCTTCCTACCCCAGGTTTTCCAGGACCAGGGCTACCGCTGTGCCACTATGTGCCACTACTGTACCCGGTGTCTCAGTTAGGATTTCTATCCCTATGATAAAACACCATCACGGAAAGAAACTTGGGGAGAGGGAGAAAGCATTTACTTTTCTTATTCTACAGCACAGTCCACTGGAAGAGGTCAAGGCAGGAGCTGGTGCAGAAGCTATGGTGGAACACTGCTTACTGGCTTGCTCCCCATGGCTTTCTCCGCCTGCTTTCTTATAGAACCCAGGCACCACCTACAATAAGCTGGGCCCTCCCCCTTTACTCATTAAAAAGGAAATACACCAAAGTCTTGCCTATAGCCTGATCTATGGTGGCATTTCTCAACTGAGGTTCCTTCAGATGACTCCAGCTGTGTCAAACTAGCATGAAACTAGCATAAAACTAGCATAAAACTAGCATAAAACTAGCATAAAACTAGCCAGCACACCCGACTTTTTTTCTGCCTCTGCTGCAAGCTTGTATTTAAACCCCACAGCAAACAAAAAGATAAGCATCTCACACACACACAAGGCTGGAAAAGCACTCAGCTACACACACCTCAGGAGGCAGAACAGCCGTGCTAATGGCAGCAGCGCTCCAGCTCTGCTCCTCCTGCATGGCTCCCCGACCTCAGGACTGATTTGCAGGGCCTGTCCTTAGGAGATAGGAGCAGTGTCTCAGGTGAATGTCAGTCTGTCCTAACCACAAGGACCACAAGGACCAGACTTCTCAAGGGATTTCACATGAATAATTTAACTTCATAAAGTGGCTTCTCCACGGAGCCTCCATGGACAGACACTCTTACAAGGACTGGGATTAATGCGGGAAGGAGGGACCCAGAACAGAGAAGGACATTGTAACAGACCTCCCTCGTGGACCACTGCCTAAACGGACAGTTCCTCCTGGCTAAATAACCAGAGCAGGGCTGGGATCAGAGCAGGATCCTTTGAGTCTATAAGTCATCCTTGGGTCTTTCAGATGATGGGACCATTTCTGGGAAGATCTTTGCCCGATTAGTAAGCAGAGCCCAGGTCATTTCAGGGCCCCAGTGTCTGTGACAGGATCCCTGAAGTACGTGCCCCTCTCCCTGTGGCGGCCCTATGCTGCAGGTGCTAGGACTGCTAGACTCGTGTCACCCCAAGGCTGTCACTCAGCCCTATGAGGATGAAGACTGGATAAGACCAGATTTTTCAAATTTTCAAGCAAAGGCAAGGATCCAGACGGCACTGTAACTCTACTACAGACAACTGTCTCAAACATGGAGAGCGCAGCACAGACCCTCGGAGGCAAAAGGCCAAAGGAGCCAGGCCCCACCCATACTCCAGTTCAAGAAAAACAAAACTCAGTAGCTGAAGTAGGTGGGGCCGTGGGAAGGGAAGGGAGGTAGAAGAGGAAAGAGGAGCCCTGCCTATATCCCTGCCCCTATCTTCTCTGGGGGCCTTGGGTGAGTGGGGAGTAAGGCTTGTGAAGACGTGACACTCGCCCAGCTTTCCCAACAGTTCGGATTTCTGCTCTGGAAAGTCATCACTCAGACTGGCACTGGCAGCAACATGCCAGGCTTCATGCCTGGAATTCTACCTCGTGCACCTCAACAGCCACTTCGTTAGATGGATCTTGCTATGTAACACTCATCTTACAGATTAGTGAACTGAATGAAGCACAGAGAGTTTGAGTCACTTGCCCAGGTCACACAGCCAATGGCAAAGCTGAGGTTTATGTTCAGGAAATGTGACCCCAGATGTTATCTATGATCCTTAGCACTAAAACTGAGACAAACAGGACTCTCAGCTTTGAAGGTTAGCTGTAGGACTCCTGGAGAAAGAGGAACCATTGAGAAGGATTGAAAGAGATGTAACATGTCCTGATTTTTTTAAACAAAAAAATTACACTAAAATATGGTAGTGCAAGCCAGACAGTAATGGCTCATGCCTTTAGTCCCAACACTCAAGAGGCAGAGGCAGGCAGATTTCTGTGAGTTCAAGGCCAGCCTGGACAATCAGGGCTAGACAAAGAAACTTGGTCTCTAAAATCAACAATTAACAAACTGTGTGTGTGTGTGTGTGTGTATACACATATATATGTGTGTGTGTGTATGTGTGTATGTATATACATACACATATTATTGTATAAGTAGAGTCCATAATACAGTGATTTAGTTGCACGCTGTCAACCTGACTTACTAATCAGAGACCCTGGAGTATGACCTGCTTCCCTCTTCGTTTCCTGCTTACCTGCACAGACCTATATATTCACATCCACAGGATCCACAAGAACCATGTCATATAGATGAGTGACTTCTAAAACTTTATGTAAACGACACTATGCTATGTGACCTTTAGGAACATCTGCTATCTTTTTAACCTTGTATCTCTGAAATTGAGACAGTGCTCCATACTGACACACAGGGCTCATGCTCATTTATTTAATTTTATATTTTGTAGTTGTGGAATGTTTTGTTCTTGCTTCTTTGAGATGAGGGAATCTCTGTATGCTGCTCTGAATGCTTTCTATCTCCGGAGCACAAACGATCCGCCCCAGCCTCAGCTTCCGGAGAGCTGGCAGTGTGCACTGCTGTACTCAGCTCCTGCCTTCCAGTCATCTTTCTGTTTCCTTAGCACAAGGGATGGAGCCCAGGGCCTTGCGCAAGCACGCTTGGCAAGCGTTCTACTGCTGAGCTTCAAGTCTAGCCCTGCCCATATTATTGTAGTATAATATCTAATCAAGAAGGCCTACATATCTGCAAAGTTAGAGCTCAAGGAATGTATGGAGTGCTTACACTTGTATAACCATCTCACAGCCTAAGGAAAATAACCCAGGCTGGCGATGTGGCTCAGGTGGTAGAGTGCTTTCCTAGACTCATGGAGCCCTTGGGTCAGTCCCCAACATTGCACAAACTGGGCAGCGTTGTCACAGTGCATACCAGTAATCTCAGAACTCAGGAGGCAGAGGCTGGAGGATAGGAAGTTCACTGTGTCCCTGAGGGACTAGAAGTTACATTCCCTGATAGGTAGACAGATAAGAAGGGCCGTGACTAGGAAGTAAAGGTTGTGAACTTCCAAGATGGCCAGCTTCTTCCTCATGCTCCTGACCTGAGACAAAAGTCTGACAACTTAAAACAAAAGCCTGGTGGGCTCTCGTCTCCAGTCCCCTGCCTGTGGATGTGTTTACAAAAGTTGTGGATGGTTCATCTTTCCTGTTTTTGTTCTAAAGGACCAATCCTAACCTAGGGGAGGAAGATCCCTTCAAAGACCCTAAAGACCCCCAGACCCTCCAGGAGAGACCAGGGTTGGCTTCTTGAGTCCTCTCCCTGCTCTACAGAGGGTGTGTGTGTGTGTGTGTGTGTGTGTGTGCGCTTTGTTGTGTGTCTCTTCACCCCTAATGTAGGTTTTTCTTCCATGGCTGAATTTTCCTACAGTAGCTCAGACTCCCCCACTGCTAACTGTTGAGATCTTCTGCCTTTTCCTTCTTGAACTGGCAGAGAAAATGAACTTTATCCCTTGACGGTAAAAATCCTTGGCTACAAAGCGAGTTGGAGGCCAACCTGTGCTAACTGCAGTTCCAATGAGATGGGTACTAGCCAACAGACCAACACCAGGCTTGAGAAGCCTCGGCACAGCCTGTCTTGTGGCCACTCGTTTTCATTGCAAACCAGCACAAGCAGATTGCGACTTGTCATCACCTTCTTTGCTGGTGAACATTTGAGTCGTTTGCACTTTCTTTACAGTACTGCAGGGGTGTGCACCCACACCCATGGCTCACTGAGGGTGGATTGGCCACTCCCAGCCTAATGTAGCCTTAACTTGTGGCTCACCAGATCCCAGCTCCGCCTGAATAGCAGGATGTAAACGTTACTCTCCATCACAGCCTCACTGGGCTCAGAATCCAAATGTCTCCTAACCTACACAGTGGGAAAAGGCTTTCCCCCATGATTTAAATTTGCATGTCACTGCTTCCAAATGAGGTAGAACGGCTCACTATGGGGTTTCAGGGATCCTCTTTTCTGAATCGATTATTCATGTCTTTGTCACTTTCTTTCTTTCTTTTTTCTTTCTTTCTTTCTTTCCTTTCTTTTTTTCTTTCTTTCTATTGGGTTGTTCCCATGTTTACTGATTTTAAGGACTTCTATATATACTAGATGCACTTCCCAGTCAGCTTTTTACTAGGGCAGGTCACTTTGTTTTAATTTTCAAAAGAGGGAGGAACATTCACATATAATGAACTAGAGGACACTGAGTGCGGTATAAATTTCTAGAGATTCTAGAACGGATCGGAAAGTGGATGAGTTGTGGCAACTGAGCACGACCTTGCAGATCATTGGGAGGAGTCTAGGTCCCCAAAACCAGTCACGCCAGGCTTGTCTTGGAAAGGCTTCAATTGCCGGCCACCACCTTTTGGGTGACATGCATGAATTATGAGCGGCACTGTCCCCGCACGTACAACATTTCATGAAACCCAGGAGACGGGTCACCACCCTCACAGTGCAGCAGCTGAGGAGGATCCCTGGGCCATAGAGCAGGGAGAGCTAAGGTGTTTGTGATGGGATTTCTGGGACATCATAACCTTGGCCTTGCCATAGGGGAAATGTTGAATTGTAGACATGGGATAAATCAGTTACGAATGTGTCCTTTGAATTCCGCAGGAATTTTCTGGAGACTTATACTGTGCTGGGTACTGACACATTCAACAAGCTCATTGCTTTCTCTAAAAGGGACAGAGAT